GAGGGGGTCTCTGTTGTGGGGGTCCTTGTGGGGGGCCCTGGGGTCTCTGCTGTGGGGGTCCTTGTGGGGGTCCTCGTGGGGGACCCTGGTGTCCTCGTGGAGGTCCTCGTGGGGGGCCTTGTGCGGGGCCCAGGGGTCCTCGTGGGGGTCCTCGTGGGGGTCCTCGTGGGGGGCCCTGGGGTCTCTGCTGTGGGGGTCCTCGTGGGGGTCCTTGTGGGGGACCCTGGGGTCTTCGTGGGGGGCCCTGGAGTCCTTGTGGGGGTCCTCGTGGGGGACCCTGGGGTCTTCGTGGGGGGCCCTGGGGTCCTTGTGGAGGTCTTTGCTGCTGTTGTGGGGGTCCTTGTTGTGGGGGTCCTTGTTGTGGTGGTCCTTGCTGCTGCTGGCCTCCCTGCTGTGGGGGTCTCTGCTGAGGACCATCCTCACCAAATGGTGCGAATCCTCCAGGAAGGGGTCTCAGAGCAAGGCCCTGGTTTGGATTCCCGAATCCTGTGTTTGTACAGCAAGAACACAGGCTCAGGGACAGACGGCTCTTCTCTTTCTGCTCTGTGACCTTCTCGCCTGGCCTCTCCCCTGCCAGCCTTCCCTATGACCTCCTTTGAGCCTTGGCTAACGAATCCCTAGATTTTGCCCTCACAGGGTGAGAAGCACTGACAGAGGATTCAAATTAGCCATGTGACTTCATTCCCAGGAACAGCTGGCCTGCCTGTCTCCCCTGCATCCGCCGCGTGTCCAGTACACCAGCCCACACCAGGCCCAGCCTCGACCACATCTGCCCTGTTCTTACGATATCTTCATGAATGCAAACATTACCCAATCAAGCCTCTGCTCTGTGTATCTTCTCTTATTGTGGACATACACTCCAATAGGTCTCATTAGATATTAAAAAATCTCAGGCTTGGACTGGGAAGGTGGCTCAGTGGTAGAGCGTTTGCCTTGCATGCATAAGGCCCTGAGTTCTATTCCTCAGCACCACATAAGCAAAAAGAAAAAAAGCCAGAAGTGACGCTGTGGCTCAAGTGGTAGAGCACTAGCTTTGAGCTGAAGAGGTGAGGGACAGTGTCCAGACCCAGAGTTCAGGCCCCACGACCTGACCCCCCCCCAAAACTAAAAAAAGAAAAAACAAATCTCAGCCTCAGACATGGGTAAGAACACTTGTGTCCTAACAAGTCACCCCCTCTCCTTTCTTCTCCTAGACTCTAGGTCGAATCCCAGCACCCATTTCCCTACCTTGACCATATCTCTGAGCGGAGCTCAGGGCCAGCAGGGCCGCGGTGAGCAGGACCAGCAGCATCGTGGAAGAGGCTCTGGACCGGCTCTGGAGTCTGTGCCGAGATGCGGGGCCTCTCGCTTTATGAGGAGGAGCAGAAGAATGGAGCTTTGAGCTCGCCCAGTGCCCTTCTGCCTGACATACTGGAATGCCTCGCATCCCTGACTCTTCTTCTGGACCAGAGCCTGACTGGATGGGTGGGGAGGAGGCAGCCAAGGTTTTATTCTTAAAATACACCACATAGGACTTAGGGCAAAGGTTTGGAGGACCCACGCCTACAACTTTGGTCCACACACTAGATTTTTAGCATCATTATATGAAGCTCAGTCAGTCTGATGAGACTGGTAGTGTTGTACAAGAGCAGGTATATTTATGTTTTTTGTCATTAATCTAATGAAGACAATCCATATGGCAGACTATCACTGGACATAACCTCCATCCATTATAACGGACATAGATGTTTGTGTGGGACATTTAGCTAAGCTTTTTCATGAAACAGATTTCGCCAGCACAGTAAGCTCTCAATTGCTGTTTCATATCTCTTAGCACTTTAATAATCTTCTAGGATCCTATCTTGTGCTGGAAGGTTCTAGAAGACTGGGCTTGGCCTTATGTCTTCTCGGGATTATTTTTTTGTCGCAGTGATGAAGTGTTCAGTCTTGCACTTGTGGGAGGTAGTTGGCTACCTCTTTCAGAGTCTGAATTCTGAAAGAGTTTGTGCTTTCATTTACAGTCGGGTGCTCTGCTCTGAGAACGGGGGATCTCTTCTCCGTCACGTCTTCCTCGCTCTCTCTGTTAAACTCATTTGCCGATATTGAGTACTCTAAACTAACCCTGCCATTTATCATCTTTTGGCTTTTTTTCTACTGCATTTTGGGATGATTTCTTTATGTAGTCTTCTCAGTTAGCGTTTGTTTTGTGCTCTATGTTGGAAGCTTGGGGACATTTTCTGCCCAAGATGGCTCCAAACCACAATCCTGGAGGCTCAGCCTCCTGAGTAACTAGAATGGCTGACCCCCAGCTCTGCTGGACTTTTGAGATTTATGGAAGAAGAGATGGGTGGCAGGCCTGGCACATTTCTCTATTGCCACAACGGTCCCTGCTTTCGGCAGACACTCTGGGGTAAAGGACCTGAACAGGGGGATCCTGACAGGTGAATCGTGGTAGACCTTATAGAAAAAGAAGGTCAGGGAACAGAGCTGGGCACCAGGCCGACGGGGAAGGAGCAGCTCATGCAGAATCTTGATCTGGTGGACACTGCTCAGAGCAGTTGATCCTGTCAGACACACCTCAGCTCCAGACTTTCCCTGACCTTCTCCAATACCGGCCAGGCATGAAAAAGATTCACATGTCCCGACAGGACACTATCGACTGACGGCTCACCAGACAGTAAAAACATGGACGTCCGACAGCTAGTATCGATGGGGCTAAGCTGCAAGCGAGACTTCCCCGGGAACACAGGCCACTGTCTCAAGTGTTCAGAATCTCCCCAAATGGCCAGTAAGGGGTTGAGCCAGGTAAAGCAGAAAAGCAAAGACATCGATTCTGGTTTGGGTTAGCCCTGGGCAAGAAGATATAGAAGACAGAGATAGCCCAGAAGATAACTTGCCGCTGCTGACCTCCATGCCATATCTGAATCCTGACTCCCACGGTCGTGTGTGTCCAAGGCGTGGCCACCAGAGCTTCTCACTCATGGTGACACCGACAACCACACGGGTACCGTGTCCTCCCCATCTCTTGCCTCAGTCTCCCTGTGTGCTCTGGACCCACTCAGCAAACACGGGCGTCACTCGCTTAGGTTTTGGAAGCACCGGGCCGGGGCAGTCACCGAATCACATGATTTTTGTCTGTTCACTTTATTCTAAGTCCACAACATGGCAATAAAACAAAGTATATTTTGAAAATACATTTTTAAAAAACCATTAAACCAAAATGATTGTAGGAAGGAAGCAAACTAGGCTTTAAAATGCCATTTTCTCTATAACTTCACAAGCCTACAAACTGTCACAAGAACACTATATCATAAAAAGTATTTTTATTTTATGTTTATCTTTAAGTAGTTGTACAAAGGAGTTGCCATTTGACACAGAGGTGTACAAACACGATGGGCCTGGATGATTGTCACCCCTCTTGTCACCCTCCCCCAACCTCCATCTCCACCCCTTCCCTCAGTTTCCACAAACAGTACATGGAAGGAGAGTCTGCAGACAGCCATCTTGAGCTGGTACCTTCTCTATGAAGGGGGACGGGGATCAGCACCGGGCCGGCCTGAGGTGCAGCCCCCGGCTGATTGGCCACGTCATGTGGCCCGTGGTGCAAGGGGCACAGGTGGCATCGGCCTTGCCCTTGGCCTGGTAGATCCTGGGACAGAGCGAGCGAGTCTGCCAAAGATCACTCCAGCCCTTGCCCAACTTTCTCCAGTGCCAGCCACAGGTGAAGGAGATTAGCGTATCCTAAAAGAAAAATACCACCTCGGAACTCACCAGGCACAACCCGATTACAAAAGACCACGCGACCCAGCCCTTCCTCTGCCCTTCTCCAGTGTCAGCAGCGTGTGAACGAGATTAGTGTATTATCATCAAAGAAAAATGTCACCCAAGAGCCACGTGGACACAACCAAACCCTTTGTGGAAGCTCTGCGGGGAGGAGGGGAGGGCTGGGACCTCAGCCAGCGCTCAGCAGGTGCCTAGGCCGCTCGTCCTGTGTAGGAGTGCTTGAGAAAGCAGTTTTCCCGATGATACATTTTGCTACACTTCACATGCCACCAATAGAATTCTTAATTTCACATCTGAGAGTCCACCGGGCACTGCATTCCTGCGCTACCAGGAAATCCTGTAGACAGGGTGGCAGGTAAAATAGTGCATTTTCACACAGGCCTTGAAGCTGGAAAGCCAGGCTTTCGGTGGCAACAGAATGGTCTCCTGAAAGGCCTCTCTCCCGGCTCCTGAAGGATCTGTGCCTCTTGGGAGCTCACTTGCATACTTGCACACACTTGCACACCTCCAGTATCCAGTGGGTGGGTCTTCATGCTTGTGGTGCTGGGGTTGAATGTATGAATTGGTGCATGGTATGCAGTCTATACTGAGCCAGTAATATATGGTTTAAGCAGCCCATGAAGTTGTGAGGCTCTTACGTTTTATCCACCCCTGGGCTGCCTCAGCCCCCAAAGAGAGACCTGCCTTCCCTTGGGAGGCCCCAGGATGGGGACGATGGAGTAGTAGAGGAGACCCAGAGTCTGACCACCCCATGGCTTATTTCTATTTCTGCCACAGCTGGCGTCCATGCCATATACATGTGACAAAAGTTCATGTAAAATATACTTCAGCGTTCATGGGGAAGCACGTTTTCTACACTAGCAATTCATATGTGTATGTGGGGCGATGGAGGGTTGATTTTATCGACTGTGACTCACAACCGTACATCTCATATCTTACACACCTCATTTTTAAGTCTTAAAAAATACTAACAAGGTTTTAACATGTATAAAGATTTTTTATGAGTTGCTTACACTAATTTTCTTTCCTGCATGAGTATGTGTGTGTGTGAGAGAGAGAGAGAGACAGAGAGAGAGAAAGCACAGATCTGAGTGTGTATTGCTAAGTTGTTAATATACAAGAGCAGTGAGTATTCTTGCAAAGTTCACAGGGTATGTACAATAGTATGTTTGGAAAATGCACTGATAAATACGGTTATTTCCTGTGAGCTGCCTGTCCTCTAAAACAAGGGGTGGGGCCTAAGGATGGGGGGGCCTCCTCACCCCCCTACAGCTCCCCGCAGCTCTCCGCAGTGCAGACAGAGCCACCCCCCGTAGCTTTCTGGTCCCCAGGATGAGGACAATGGAGTGGCCAGTAGGAAACATTACTGCGATCACTTTGTAAAACAAACTGGTCAGATTTTTCTGGGGAAATTCCAATGTCCAGACGTGCAGGAGAAAGGTGAGGAAGAAGAGGATGTAGAGGAGGAGGAAGGCGGCCATGCTGCCCAGGGCCCAGCGGTGGGCCTCAGCTCTCTTGTCCCCAGCTACAGCTCCCCAGCATCTCCAGTGCTGCCACAGGGAGGCGAGGAGCAGCAGCACTGCCACCAGGGACAGGACAAAGGGCAGGAGCGAGAAAGCCAGGTTGGGGGCTAAAAGAAGTTTGGAAAATTCCCGGCTGAGCGTGTGAGATGCATTGGTTCCAGAGCCGCGGACCCAGATGTCGATGTGCGAGTTCATCAGCATGATGTTTACAAGCAGGGGGGCCAGGGACGTTAGCAGGATGCACCAGACCACTCTCCTCACTCGGAACCTCAGATAGAGGAAGAAGGCGTTCGAAAAATTAGCTATCCTGAGAAAATAATAGATGCTGAGGCTGGTGGCGAGCCAGAGGCTGCAATGATTGAGGACGGTCCAGGAAATGTAAACCGCTCTTAGCCTGCTTGGGATCATCAGTGATGAGGGGCAGTACAGAGCTGCCCACCAGTTTAGGAAGGTCAGCCCCAGCAGACCAATTCTGGAGACTGACAGAGCAGTGAGGATCTGGTCCACGGCCGAGAGCTTTCTTCCCAGGAGCCAGTCCCTGCCATTCACCAGGGCCACAAACCCATTCCCTAAATTTCCAACCAGGAATTCCACACTAAAAATCATAGTCAACACCCACCGGTCACCAGCCATTCTCCAGAAGACATGGGTTCAATGCCAGCACCGCTGCTGAGGGTCTCTTTGTGAATTCTTCTAAACAAGGGTCTCGGAGTGAGTTCATCTAAGCAAGGGTTTCTTTGTGAATTCATCAAGATGGTATAGATCACATTCATTAATTTTTTTAAGGTTCTTCATATTAAACATACACACATACACATGCACATACACACACACACACACACACACACATGTCCCCCCCAGTGTGGGGTTCATGGGCATGGACCGTACGCGTGGCTTCCCCCACCCCCAGGAATGAGGGATCATTTCCTCTCTGACAGCTTCCTCAGAGCACAAAGCCAGTCCTTCTCCAATTTTCTGTTCCACAAAATCAAAAGGAACGGATGCCCAGATGGGTACAAAAACATTAGAACATGAGCAAAAGTCTCTGCCACGGCACTGTGGAGAATGTACGGGCAGACTTTTAAACTGTGAGCGGCGAAGAATAGAAGTCAAAGGACAGATTCTAGATCGTAGAAACCAAAAAGCCGTCTATGTAGTTTCCCAGGTGGAAGGGCGAGGAAGGACTTCTATGGGAGCGGATCACATACGTGAGTCAATCACCAAAACCCTTACTAACACGTGCATGATGACATTTCAATCTATTACACATGAATTGTACCTTACTCATGTTTGTAGTTAAAGACATGAGACCAGCTGCGTAGTGTGATCCCTCACTGATGGATATAACACTTGGGCTAGGAAAGACTGACTTTCCTGCTGACTTAGAAATTGGCGAGAATCAAGCAATAAAGCACAGAGTTTAGAAAGAGCTGGCCAGCCGAAACATGGGCAGGACAAGGTGGAGAAGTTAGCGTACAGTGAAGACCAGGCCAGACCAATCCTTGATCGGTCAAAGCCAGTGGGTCAGCCATCTCGTCTGATTGGTAAACAGGTGAAACAACTACTTTTTGTAAACACTTGTGTTCATGGGAAAAAATTCAGCTTAAATAGGACCAGTCAGAGGCAGCTACCAAACCGGCGTTTCCACAGGACAGACTAAATCCTGTAGCTGTCTAACGCCGTGTGAGTGGGTAGTGCCGTCTCGGATATCTCCCCCCAGGTAGCCCAGTGCAGCATCCGCTCTGAGAGGCTTAACTTGTAACTGGTGGCGTGCTGAAATAAACAAAGAAACTTTAATCGATCATACAATTAAATAGACAGCGAAATGTGAGTGTGCCTCTGAGTTTACAATTTTGAAAACCATTGCGCTAAAACCCTGTTCCAGAGAATTTTTTACAAAATGTGATAAAAATAAATTAGAAGTCACAGAAGAAAGGAACGAACGCCTTGAATACCACACTCTCTGTAGTTCTGAAGCCATGTCTGTGAGTGCTGGACCATGCTCTCTTCTATCCTGGGCAACTCTCCTATCTCGGGCATTAAGAGTCCAGACTTCAGGAAAATGGAAGGAAAACCTTGCTCAGCTAGCAATTTCCATGTCTGCAAATGTTTATTCCAATCTTGAGAGCCACGAGGGATGATTTTTCATATCCAAAAGAGTAGTCAGTCAGGGATATCTAATCGCTGCAGATTCAAATAAGGGCAGTTTTCTGTTTTCTAATTTGGGCTCAGAGTAGGTAAAGTTTTTGAATACAAGAATCTAACAGGATTGTAGAATGGAACTGGAGATTTGTGGAATTAGAGATGACAACTTGGAGTAATCGCCAGAACTTACAGACCTTAAAGTTATCTCGTGGCAGGAGAGAGCCAGAAAAGGGGACATTGGGTTCAAAATGGGGCCCTTCATTGCATCTGTCATAAACACTATCAGTCACAGACGCACTGTGCTTGCATGCAACAAACACAGAAGCAGTAATTCTAGTAAGGAATGGGTAGGTCTGTATATATATAATACTATAATATATAATATATAATCACTTTATCAACAGTTAGCTGCTCTAGTAATGGCATGTTCAGAACACAAAGGGTAATTTCTCATGCTTGATGGTGAAAGAAAAAGCTAACACTTATTTATTAATGTGCAAATGAAGGCAAATTTTCTTCCATGGTTTTACAATATTTGCTTTATTTCTATAGAATTAGGTCATCATTGGTTGGAATACATTGTGAATGTGTGTGTAGTACATCAGATATAGTAAAGATAGTATAACAAAGCTGCTTACATACCTCTATTATTTTAGTATAAGCAATACAGATGTGTTTTAAAGTATATGGAGGACTACATGGCAGATTATATGTGCAAATATTGTGATAGTTTGCAGCAAAACCCTGAGCATCATTGAGTCTTGGAGACCACAGCAGTCCTGGAGACACCCCGACACTAACACAGCCTGGCAATGGAGACAACCCCAACACAAACACAGCCTGGCAGTGGAGACACCCTGATATGAATGCAGCCTGGTGATGGAAACACCCCAACACTAACACACACCTGGTTTGGAGACACCCTGACACTAACACACACCTGGTTTGGAGACACCCTGACACCAACACAGCCTGGCGATGGGGACATCCTGACACCAACGCAGCCTGGCGATGGAGACACCCTGACACTAGCGCATGCCTGGTGATGGAGACACCCTGACACTAGCGCATGCCTGGTGATGGAGACACCTCAACACCAATGCAGCCTGGCTATGGAGTGCACTAGTCATCCTCCATTACTGTGAAATAAATGCACCTGTAGTAATAAATCCCTAGCAAGCTTATTTAACACGTGATGTTCAAGGTTCCCAAGCAAATGCAGGGGAGTGGCCTCATTGCTTTTAGGCCAGTGCTATGGGTGGGGAGGGGGATAGATGCTCACCTCAGGACTGGGAAGCCAAGAGAACAGGGGGAAGTGAAGAGAACCAAGAGGAAGGGATCAGGATCTCACCTGAACGTGTCTACCCTCTTCCAACCCAAAAACATGCAAGCCTTTCTCCTGCAGCTGGTTGTTTACAACAGAAACTGCTACGCCAGTGTTCCAATGTTTTCCATTTATGTCTAGGGGATTTGGATTGAGGAACTTAATGTGTTTGCCTTTCCATCTCTTTATGTGCAGGTTGACAGCACTGTAGGGATCGGATGTGTAATACACATAGAGCCTTGAGCCTAAGGAAACATCGTTCTCCTCCTTCTGAACTTTCCTCCGGTCTATAAAGCTGTTTCTTTCATTCCTGTCTTGATAGTTACACATGTAAACCATATGTCTTTTAACTTTTTGGGGGGGAGGGGAGTCATGGGTCTTGAACTCAGAACCTGGGCGCTGTCCCTGAGCTCTTTCACTCAAAGCTGGCGCTCTAACACTTGAGTCACAGCTCCTCTTCCGGTTTTCTGGTGGTACATTGGAGATCAGAGTTTCATGGACTTTCCTGCCCAGGTTGACTTTGAACTGCAATCCTCTGATCTCAGCCTCCTGAGTAGCTAGGGTACAGATGTAAGCCACCAGCACCTGGTCCAGTGAAGGCTTTTATATTTTTAAAAATATTAAAAGAGACAGGATAGGCACAATCAGGACTAATCCTTTGGATGGTTTTGCTTTCAAATTGACTTTTTGGGGGTAAGGGTGAGGGGAGAAATCACAACAAGAATTTGTTGAATTTGAGATGAAAATATTAGCATCTGGACTTTGTGAAAGGTCAAGAAAGATGTCAAAGGACATCTTTAAAAACATGCTCTAGGAGGGGGGACCAAGATGGCGACGGGGCAGTAGGGAAACGCCACAGCTCTCTCC